TAATCAATTTTATTACAACTAGTTTTTGTGTGTATATAATTTTTCAAAACAATTATTACCTGAACTGGTCACTAGTCCTGTACCGATAAACGGAAGTAGTAGGTTGTATTCTAGGTTCTTATCAATATGAGTACTTGAGTTCAGAATTTGCTGAAATAAAAGTTTAAAATTARAATTTTACATACATTAATATTAATTTATTGTAAACATAAACCGATGTAAAAAGATGTTTATATATTATGTATTTTTACAAGTAAAATATATGTTTTAAACATYCATAACTCGTAATTAGTGTGACGCATTCAAGTAGATTTGATTGAAGATTGCAATATTTAAAAATGAAAGCCAATATTGTGTGTTAATTTACTCAAACATAAGCCTCCTAATCCCTATTGTTTGATAAATGTTCTTTTTACAATAATATAGGTATATGGACTTTTGGTTTAAAATTAAGGTAATCAGTGAGTATGTAAATTGTTTGTATCTATTAATGCTCATAAGAATACTATACAATGAAAAATTCACTAATTTAATGCACATTTGTACCAATTATTAAAAAGAAAAACAAATTAAATTGGTTTTTAATCAAACTATCCTTCAAATAGTACCTATGCTAGCATATAGTACCTACATATTATACCTAACCACCAAAAATAAATTTTCATGGTTTTTAATCAMATTTTCATAATATTTGTAGGTTATGAATACCTACAATTTAAAAACTGACTAGTGACAACTTAACAAAAATATTTTAACTACCAAACAAAAATATAATATGTGCTTAATAAAACACACCAATTAGACAATAACAGAATTTTATCTTATTTTAATGCTGGATAACCGAGTGTCGTATATACCTTCTTCTAAATATTTAAAAGTTGTTTGTTATCTTAATTAATAAATTATGGCTGCATCTCCTTGGCACATTACTRCAATAGAATATTGTTGGATTCATACAAAATAGTACTTGTAAAATTTATGAATTTAAAAAATCAAAGGTAAACAGAAGTGCAAGATTTATGTATATATTATATATATACAAGTATATATAATTGATTTAAATATTTTAACAATAATTAATACATTATTACAAAACGTTCAGTTTATATATAATATATGTATATATACACATAACTTTTAATAGAAGATATAGTATTTTCACTGCACATGTAAAGGAAATATAATTTATAAATTGATGCCATAAACACAAAAGTAGAACCTAATGATAGGCTCAATTAATATAAAACAAGGGAGGTCGTTGTGGAAATTCAACCATAAGCTATACACAGCAATTAGTAATTTACTATAAGTGTGTAGTTTTTTTTCCGATAGGCACGTGCAATCGTACATGACCTAAAAACAGTGAAACATTAGGTATGTAGGTACCAAATATGTTGACTACAGATACCTGTAAATAATATAATAATAACTACAACTAAATGCATAATACTTTGTAGGTATAGTATTTTTACTCGAAACCGAAATGATTGAATAATATTTTATAGATATAATTATTACTTTACGAGAAAACTGTCCATAATAWTATATGGGGATGACTAGGAAACTGCGACCATCCCTAAGCGAGAAATAAATTAYTTTCTGAAAATAATGATTGTATTGCGTTAATATGATATTTCTTTAGAGAATCGAAGCATGGATATTATGTGACCATGTCTCATGCTTGTAAAAATAAGAAATAATATTTTTTCAAATGATAATGACCGATACTACCTCATGATTTCGATTGGGAATTCGGGATTATGTACTTTTCTGGTACTTAAAAATAGTACTTAAAAAATATCTACAATTTTGATTATTATTAACGATAATATATACCTAATACGCAATTTTAATTAAAAAAAAAAATGTTTTATGTATAGTGGATTGTAATATTGTAATATTTACACATAATCAAGTAAAAAGACCGTAAAAATATTTATCTTATAATGATGTTGAAATTTAATATTTTTCTCATAGGAAAATGTGATAAAAAATTATAACGCATACTAAAATTGTTTTATGATAATCATGTGACGTCGTATATTATACTACAATAACATTTTTCTTAAAACCTAAGTCTAATAATTTTTTTTTAAACATTATTATAGTTATTAAATAAGATACTAGTATCATACACTACCTGATTTTCTTGCATTTCAACCCTAAATAACAATATACTTACTATAAATTATACCTATACGAAAATCAAAAATGTATTTAAATACTCAACCACCACCTTT